CGGATGTTTCTCCTCTATGATGTTGCTTTCTATACTCTCCCTGCAGGATAGCCTGATCTTGCAAGTTTAAGTTCACATTTTTAACCTTTGGCTTGGCCCCTAGTGCCTTTGTTTTTAAATGGGTTAAGGGAAAGGGAATTAACTTAGCCTTGTGTGGATTTTCCATTTGAATAGACCTAACAGTTCTTTGAATGCCTTTTAACAGGTCTTCAGGGGGGCCCGAACTCTGGCCCATATATTCAAAAAGACAAACTTCTAGAGCTGTCCAAGTTTTCTGAATATTATCTATGCCTCCAGGTAGTTCATTAGAAAGACAGACTTTTTGTAACTTCCTTCCTAGTTTCTCCCAAGTAAGTAAATTTGGAGACTCTTGTTCACAAAACCAAGGACAATGTTCACCTACAATCTTTAAGAATTGAAATAACTGAGTTTTCTTTATCTGTTTTCCTTTCTGATTAATTATACTGTCTAAAATAGATACATTTCCTTATCCGTAGAAGTTGAATTTCCCATTTTAATTAATTTAACGTCTATTTCCTTCAATATCTCCAGGTACTTTTGTGACCCAAACTGTCACCACTTCCTTTATCTTTATTTTTATCTTTATCTTTATAGCATGTTCCCACTCAATCTAACTAATCTAGAATGTCCCCCTCGTGGGCGCCAATTCCACCATGTGGCCAGCGCAATGGTTTCATTAATGAGGTTCTTGGCATAAAAGTTAGCTTTCAAGATCGAAATAAACCACACAGACTCAGTTACCTTATTTCTATTTCCAGGTCCAGGACAGCTCCCCTTTCTGGTTCCCACTTTTAACTGCCCGGCAGGGCAGCAAGGATTATTCAGGGCTAGCAGGAGAGAGAGAGTGAGGGCACACCAGGGAGTAGCCTTTTATTGGGGAACAAGAGAGTCAGGAGAGAATTCCATCCAATGAAGGTTGAGGGGGGGGCCGCACTCCAAGGTCAGGGTCAGTGATTGCGCCCCTCGGGGTCAGTGGTCAGTCACACCCCCACACAGATGGGTTCTGTCATCAGGAGAGGGCCGGGAAATCTC